TCTTAAGCAAATCCAAGACATCGTTTTATTTCAAATGTAATTATTTTAGTATGTATTTCTAAAAGATGGACTTAAAGAACACACACAGGACCAAAATACTATTACCCCTGTCAATGTTTTTAAAAACCAAAGTTTATTTGCTCTTTCCAATTGTAGAAATAATACTTGCTTATTGGAGGAAATTTGGAAAGTAAGGAAAAGTTGAAAGAGAAAAATTCATTCATAAGCTCAGAACCCACAGATGACCTCTGTTGAGATGTGGGTGCTTACTTCTCAGTGTCTTTTCTGTGCAGGAAGACACACACAGGTGAACCTCCAGGCACCTATAATTGGGATCAAACTGTGTTTTTGTATCCTGCTTGTTTGCTTAGTTCTCTACCAGGCCCATCATGAACAATTCCCCACCTCATTAAGTCTTTAAAGACTCCCTTTTGAATGACTGCCGAATTTCTCACAGTGGCTGGCTGTGCAAGGCCTGCCTTATATGTACCTGGAGCGCATCTAACTTTCCCTGGCCCAGGGCTCCTGCCCTCACCTGTGAAAACGTGTCTCTGGATCTTTGGGGCCCAGACAGGTGAGGCCAGGCAACCCTGGGCCCAGGGAGGTGGGCAGCAGCCTCAGCCGGCAGCCTGACCGCCCTCTCTGGGCCAAGCACACACAGCTCTCATTCTGCCTGAATCCCCGAGGCCCAGGTCACTCACCTGCAAAGGGGATCCTCCCACCCACCTCCTAGAGCTTTGGCAAGGATTCAATGAAGCACCTGGCACCCAGAAGCCCACAGTTGTGCAGGCCAAGCTGTGCTCAAAGCTGCTTTATCTCGGCCTGCCCTTCATGCCCCCTGGCAGTGGTTCCTAAGTGATGCCCACCCCAACCACCTGGGGATTGTTCAAAGCTGCTGATGGCCCACTCCCAGACATTCAGATTTGGGGCGCAGAGTAAAACCTGAGCAGGGCTCCCAGGTGTTCTAATGTGCAGCAAAATTTCTGCTTTGGATAAGTGTTCACCACCCCCAGCCCCAAGTTGTCCCCATTCTAGGCAGCAGTCATTGATGTCTAAAAATCTAAAGCAAGTCCTCCTAGTTTTGTCACTAAGCCTTATTAAATGCCAACACCCTAGAGCAGTCGTGGGATTAAGCCCACTATAGAAGGGCTGGTTTCTTGCTCTTTGGGGTCCTTTCCAATGTAGTAAGTAGCTAAGGGCAGGCCTGGATGGAATTGGGGAAGAGGGCTTGGCCACTGAGGTCAGAGCTGTGACACCTGGGCCTCGGGCGGAGCCTGTAATGTAAGGAAGAGCAGGGTGGCCCAAGGTGGGTCCCTGAGGAGGTGAGCAGGGAATTTGCACTGCAGAGACCTTGCTCATGGCTCATGGTTCTCCGCACACCTCAAATCCTGCATCCCAGGCTGTAATCCCTACCCTGGCAGGGCTCCATGCCCGGATCCCAGGGGGCACCATTGGGCAAACAGGAGCTCCTGATAGCGGGAGGCACAGGCCCCACCACGCCAGGGAACATGAATCGGATGTGGCCTGGAGGCCCCAGCTCCAGGAGATGCATTCACCTGTCTGTTAGCAGGGAGGTCACACCCATGGCTGGCTGACGTGCACACAGGCTTATTCTGACCACACATCAGCACATTTATTTTTCAGTTTGAATAGTTGGCCATGTTTAAACATCTCCAGCTTATCTTTTTTTCCTTTAAATATTTCTTTGGGGGAGGAACACCACTCTTCTACTCAATTGAAAACAACATTTTGAACAGAACAAAGGTCTTTTGTTTCTTTACACCTGTCATGCCATGAGCTCCCAGGTAGGGGGCTCCCTCGGCCCAGGCTCCGTTGCGTTGGTTCTCACCAGGAGCTGCTCTGGGCGGAGCAGCTACCTCAGTTGAGCCCAGGTACCTTTCTGTTTGGCTTCCTTCTTGTTCTGAACATTTTCCTTTACATTTCAGGAAGCTTGCTCACCTCTTGGAGGTTTGATATGCTCAAGTCCTACTTTCATTCTCTTGCCCTTGTGTGTTTGCAATGCCCACGCTTGCTGGGTGACACTGCAACCCTTCCGTTTGCCCTGGGAACATCCACGATATGCTCAAGTCCTACTTTCATTCTCTTGCCCTTGTTGTTTGCAATGCCCACACTTGCTGGGTGACTCTGCAACCCTTCCGTTTGCCCTGGGAACATCCGTGGGGCATCCTTTTTGAACAGTGCCCTTGAAGGCAGCAACATCGCCTTTCTCGTAGATTCGCACGTATGTGGCCCAAGGAGCAACTTCGTGTTTTCTAAGAGAACGTGTAGCAGGGCCTCTCTTTCCCTTTGTGTTAGTCATTTTGGCAAATTACGGGAAGATGGCGGTTCCGGTGGGAAGGCCCTGCTTGTCTTGAACTCGAGCCCACTCAGGGCCCAGGGTGTCACATGGATGGCCCCAAGCCCTCCTCCAGGTGCCACTACCCCCTGCTTCTCCCAGGTGGCCCACCTGACTAATCAGGTGACTGGCCTTCCCCATGCCCTGTGAGAGCCCTTACTTCAGTGGCACTGACACCACATGTGCAAGGTCTACGCTAGACACTGGGGACAACAAATGAAAGGAACCCTGTCCTTACCCCAAGGAGCTGTCTGTGCTGGTGACGCAGCACAGACAGAAGAGGCAGCCCATGCCCCTGCGGTGAGGGGTGTGAGAAGGCTCTGGAGCACTGGGCGGGGTGGGGGGCGGGGTGGGGGGGAAGCCTGGGCTGGTGATGGGAGAGCTGAGGAGGAGGTTAGGGGGAGGCGAGTGCTGGGCACCGGCACTAACCTGTTGCCCTGTCCCTCCGCAGGGCCTGGTGGTGGCCGTCCTCTACTGCTTCCTCAACGGGGAGGTGAGTGCTCAGGCTGCCTAGCGCCTGGAGGGGCTCCCAGTCACTGGATTCCAGGTCAGAGCGAGCTGCCTGGAAAGGGTGGTGGGGTGTGGGCAGGGCAGGCCGGGGTGTCCGGACTTGGGCCTGTCTTCACAGAGTCTGAGTCACTTTATGGGAGCAACAGAACCACCTGGAAGGCTTGGTAAACAATTGCTGGGCCCTACCCCCAGTTTCCAGTCAGCAAAAATGGCCTGGGTTGGAGCCTGGGATGCTTTTAACAAGCATTACAGCGGATGCTTATCCTGGGAAAGTCAGGAAATGGAGGAGAGTGCAGGCACTCCCCCCGCCCCCCCCCCCCCAAGCCGGGCTCCTGGCTGGACGATGACCTGTCACTGCCTCACTCTGAGCTTCAGTCTTCCCATCTGTAAAATGAGTAACTCAAATGACACTTCTGCCAACTCAAAGGCTCCCAGTGGCCATTGAGTCCTTGGGGCCTGGTCACGTACCTTGAGGCCTGTGCCCTTACCCAGCATTTGGGTCAGGACATGAGGTTCCTGGCACACAGAAGCTGGGTAATCACTAGTGAACTCGGCATGGCACGTAAGTCAGGCCTTTCTGTGACTGCTGGCCATCTGTCTGCTTCGCCACACACTAATGGGGATAACTCCTGACGTTTCCCCAGAATGAGCCACCAAGCCCAGCCTCAAAGATTCGGCTGCTACAGCGGGGTCATGGGGGAAATTTCCGGAGCAGCTCTCTGGCCCTCAGATTAGCTCTGAGCTAGGGTGGCTTCCTGGGAACATGTCCTGTTGTCCCGTGGGATGATGTGGATGTTGGTGTCCTGGAGCTAGTGTGACAACGACAAGCCCTTCAGGACATTTGTAGTGAGATGGCAGGTGATCGTGCCTAGGGAAGGGCCCTCAGTACCCCCTGGACATCGGGTTGGAGCTGGTCAATCCGAGTGGCCTGCAGGAGGTGGGGAGGCATGACTACTGGGTAGGAGTGGCAGGACCGTGCAGAGGCCCCAGGGGGTGAGCAGGACTCTAGGCCCCGGGCCCTTCTTGCTGTTCCCTCCTGGGCTGATGGCCGGTCTCCGGGACAGGTGCAGCTGGAGGTTCAGAAGAAGTGGCGGCAGTGGCACCTGCGTGAGCTTTCACTGCGCCCCATGGCCCTCAGCAACTCCTCTAGCATCGGCACCAGCAGCCTCACCCACGGCACCAAGGCCAGCCCCTCGGAGCCGAGCCGGGGCACCTGCAGGGCCAGCGTCATCTGAGAGGTCGGAGCAGGGCCACCGTGGACATAGGCCACGCTGGTCCTGAGAGAGCAGGACACTGCTTTGGGACAGTCCATCTCCCCCCAGGCAGCATACGCTTTCTCCTGCGACTAGTGACCTCTTCTCCAGGCCTTGGGTTGGAGGGTGAGAGTCCCTCAGAACTCAACAGAAGGAACCTGGGCAGCATGGGACAGGGAGGGGGGAGAGCAGCTCAGGGGTCTGAGAAGGGAGGAGGAAAATAAATGGGAACTGAGGTGAGATTTGGTGTGTGTCAGTCTCCTTGTCCTTGAGACAGGTGAGGGAGGGTGCTCTGGTCAACTCCCTACTGCTTCCTGGAGGAGGGGCTTCCTTGGTCCCCTGCTCGTTTTCAGGGACAAACTTAGAAGCTCCGGAAACATGAGACATCACGGTCCTTGGCCCCAGGTGGACCCTCCCTGCCCCTCACCTGTCCAGGAGCTCTCATCCTAGAGCAGTGGTTCTCAACCTTGGCTGCACATTAGAATCACCTGGGAATCTTTTTAAAATCCTGATTTCTGGGCCTCATCCTCCGGAAATTCTGTTTCTTTGTTATGGGGTGGGGCCACAACATTAGTAACAAAGAAACAGAATTTCCGGAGGATGAGGCCCAGAAATCAGGATTTTAAAAAGATTCCCAGGTGATTCTAATGTGCAGCCAAGGTTGAGAACCACTGTCCTAGAGCCTTCAAGACGACTGAATTAATCTGAGCAAGTCCCAGGGGAGGCCAGGACAGCCCCAGGACCCAGCTCCCCTTTAGTAGCCCTGACATGGTCTGAGGCGTCCCTCCGCCTTACTGCCCTGTCAGTCAGTTATCCTGGGCCCCCAAGGCAGGGAGAGCAGGAGAGGGGGCATTATACCATTTGATAGAAGCGAAGCAGGTTCACCCAGGCCCTGTGACTTGCCCAAACTACTAGGCCAGGAGGGGGCAGAAGCCCAGTCCAGGGCTTTAGGTCTCAAGTCCCCATGCTCCAAGGCTGTCTCCTTTACCAGGGCCTGTCTCCCTCTCCCATTGGGGATTTTAGTCCCACCCTTTCCTCTCTGGATCTCAGTTCCCTTGAATACCAACACTCCTTCCCCACCAGCCTTGTGAGGATTAAAGAGTGCTCAATATTTAAACCCTTTTACAAAACAAAAACTACCAGTGCTCTTTGGCCCATGCATCTGGACAGAGTGGAGACCCCGCCCTCCACTGTAGAGAAAGAGCATCTTGCTGGTGAGGGGTCCAGCTCTAGTCCCGGCTCTGGGTGGCCCTGGTGAGTACTAGCCCTCTCTGGGCCCTGGCCCCCCACCTCTGCACCTCTGCAGAGACAAGGTCACCCTTTGCCCCTTGAAGACTGCTCCTGGTGAAAGGCCAGGTGCCCACTTCCAGGGCTAAGAACCCAGCCTACACGGTTGACGAGCTCTGCCCTCCAATTACCGATTGGTCCACAAAACCTTTCTTGAGCCATCTCCACAGACTGTGCATTTTGGAATAAAAGTTTTTAAAAAACACAAGAGGTAGGTACAAGCACCCAGCCCAGGAAGGGAAACTGAGTGACCAAAACTCATACACTCAGTGGCAGGCAGAGTGAGCCAGGGCAGGCCAGACTTCATTCGGTAGGGGAGCGGGAGGGCTGGGGTGGAATGAAGTGGGCTGAGGGCACAAAGGCACTGGAAAGGGGGCCATTTAATGCCCCAAACACTGATCTGCTGGTGAGATGGAAGTCTTTACTGGTTCCTGGTCCCCTTCACCTGCGAGCATCTTCAGTTTAACCATCACCCAGGGTCCAGCAGCTGCTCTCTGAATGTGTTCAGGGATCAGAGATGGTGCCCCTCAGGCTGCCGGATCCTCACCAAAGCTGGGCACGCACACTTGCCTCAGGGAGCGCTGCGCATTAGAAGTCAGGTGGACTTTTCTGGAAGGCTTGTTCTAAACTCTTCTCAAAGAGGTCAGGCAGGAATCCCACAGGCAGAGCCCCCAACGGAGACAGCCAGCTGCTGGAAGCAGAGGGTTATACAGGCATTACAGGGTTCCCCAAAGGGCAGGGGTCGAATCAAGTAAAATGGTTTGAAAAACTACCAGGTACAAGAAATCCTAAATTCTGCCTCCCTGGCATGACCAAAGCTAAAGCAGAGAGGCGTGCCCAGAGGTCCCCTGAGTTGGTGGAAGGAAGTCCTAGGCTCGGCTGGACACCCTTAGCTGGAAGGCGATCCACTCTTAGCCACCGCGGAGGCCCCAGGGACCCTGCAGCTGGTCTCCCAGCCCAGCGCCGGGAAGCAGGTGTGAACAGCACTTGGCTGTGCAGCCAGCCCAGGCACCAGTTACCTGAGCTGCTTCCAAATCGATTCCCGTCCTGGGAAGGAGGATTCAAGAAAAGGATTTTACAATGTGTCCTACAATCTACATCCTAATAACTTGGCTACACTTGTGCAGTTGGTGGCATGGAGGCACGCTCCTGGCCTCTGGCCCTGGGCACAGGGCCCTGGGCCATTTCTGGCTGAGCCCCCAAAGGTTACTGGGTAAGAGGCAGCAGTTCCAAGGTCATTGTCCCACCCCTACCCCCACCAGAAGTCACGTCTTGACCACTTTGTTGTGGAACCCGATGTCCTTGGAGGAGGGCCTAAAATTCCCTCAGCTGGCCCCAGGGATGGCTGATGCTGTTGACGTGCAGGCCGCTGATGGCGTTCAAGAAGAGGAGGAAGGAGGCAGTGAACTGGCACCAGAACATCAGGGTGAAGCCGGTGAGCGTGACCTGGTTCCTGAGGAGGATCACAAAGCTCAGGAGCCCCGCAGAGGAGAGGACAAATGAGACGAGGAGGAGGACGCAGCCCAGGGCCCACTTGCGCCGTGAGTGGAGGTCCTCACACACCTGAGACACCATGAGGAGCTCCAGGCCAAAAATGGCGGCCACCACGGCCAAGGCATCCATGCTGCGGGCCAGGACCATGCCCTCAGCCAGCCCTGGCACGCGGGCCTGACTCAGGTCTCTGAGGCAGTGTGGCCCAGTCTGGTTGGAGCTGGTGCAGAAGTGCCATAGCCCGAAGAGGCGGTCCCCAGCCAGGAGCCAGTGACCGTCACAGACGGAGACAGAGGAGAGGACCATGGCCAGCGCCGCACACACGATGATGAGGGTCCGGATGAAGGATTCGAAGAAGGACTGGCGGGGCCTCCGTTGGCCCAGCAGCCTCTGGGCCTGGAAGATACACAGAGGTGGCATGTCAGGGAGGGCCCCGCCCCCCCTCCAACCTGTGCAGGGAAGACCCTGAACACGACTCCACTTCCCACAGCCATGACTTCTGCTCCGTCCCCCACGAAGCCTGGAATATGGCCCTTACTCAGCCTCCTGCCCAGCTCCTCCTTCTTGGGGGACCTTTCCCCCTTCTCCCTGTTCCCCGTTCTCCATCTGAGACCTACACACACTGTCAAGTCATTTACCAGGCCCGAAGGGTTCCCTGACTTTTCTTCAATGATCTTCATGAGGAAGGAATCCAAATTCTATTGCCTGGCAAATCCTACTCCCTTCTGAATTTGGAAAACCTGTCTGGCCTGGCTAGTGTGACCTTGAGCTTGCAGCTGGCTTGGGTTTCTTTATAAACAAAACAAGAAAACTGCCTGGAAGGCTGAGGGTTGTAAAATCACTGAAACATAATCCACGGCCATTTCCTCTCTCGCCAGGACTTCCCCAGTACAGGTCCAGGTTCCTCCTAACCCCCACCCGCCGGTTCTGCACTTTCCACATTCTGCCCCGGCTGCCGTTCCATTAACTTGTTTCCTCAGTACTGACGGTGATGTTTGCACCTTGCCCTTCAGTCTTGCTCAGCCCCTCCCTGGACTTGCCAACCAGACTTTCTGTTCTAGCAGCTTCTGGAGGGTGGGGGGAGGGGGTGTGGAGCCACTGAGGCTCTTCTTTAGCCTCTGGTTTCGGCACAGGTGTCCGCCCCCCACCCCTACAACCTCTTCTGACAAGCTGAGCCAGGTACCCAGTGAGGTGTCCCTTATCTCACAGCCCTCAGACACCACCCAGGTGCCATTCCCAACCACCAGCCCAGGAAGCAAAAGAAACACTTCAGGCTACATTCCTTACCCAGCCCCCGGCGCTGCAGATCCGCCCTGTCTCCCTCTCCAGCTTCGCCCCGGTGGACTCCCCCTGGCCACCTCACTCAGGCACAGCAGCTCTCCTTCCAGGCCTAGGCCACGCCTAGCACTTTCTTCCCTCAGACCTATTGGCCCCTCCACCTGAAAGGATCTGCTCCAGGTTGCCCCCTTTCTCCGCTCATCAAAAATGTCAGACACGTCTTTTCTGCCTACCGGGTCCCCTCCTGAAACTTCCCATCAGGCATCTGTTTTCTCCACCGTTCTGATCACAAGTTATCCATTCCCTTCTGACTTGTATTACATATTATCTACCTACCCGTGAGAAACCACTATGTCCCCAGTACCCGGCACAGTGCTTGACCGGGGCCTTCAATGGGTGTGCAAGAAGAGCCATGGGATAAGTGAACGGTCAAGTTTGCCACCACTGTCACTTCCACCTGAATCTGCCTTTAAACCCAGGTCTCCCACCAGCCAGTGTATGTCAAAGCAGCCCGGGTTACACACCCCTTGGGGAGGTAAGCAAAGCAAGACAGCTCATGACAGCCGATGCTGGGGAACTGAACGGGGCTGTGGAGACACCCTGCACCAGGTGCAAAGGGAGGCTTCCAGAGGCAAGTCCAGGCCACACCTCTCAGCGAGGGACACCAAGCAAAGCCACGCTCCTGGCACAGTCCTGTGGGTAGAGACCTAGAAGACCATCAGGCTGGCTGCTAACTTGCAGAGGTGAGCAGGAGCTACTGCTAAGTTCAGTCCCAGGGTTACATGAATAAGGACCTCGTTTGCTTTCTGCACTTCTGCTTCGGCAGGGTCCTATTTTACTCCTAAACCCGTGAGGCTGGTAGAGTAGGAAGCTCCATGCAAGGAAAGAAACTGTCATGCAGAGGTCAGGTGACTTGCCCAAGCTCACTCACCTAAGTCACAGTAAAGCCTGTCACAGCTGCCCAGACGATTGATCGGGTGTAGAGGATGAGGTGCTCATAAGCACCAGCTGGGGCCTTCCCAGTGCAGGGCCTTGTGTTAGGGGCTCAGTAGAGAGTGCGGAGGGGGACCCAAGCTGTCAGGACAAAGGCATCCCTGGGGCAGCAAAGAGCTCCCAGGCAGGAGCCTGGGCTGTGGTTCTCAAACTGTGTCCCCCTGCTTCCGATGGGGGCTTCCAATGGGGGCTTCCGATGGGGGATTCCAGGTGCTGACGCAGGGGAGTAGGGGAAGCTGCCTCCGGGCCCTTCCTCCCTCCAACTAACAGACCCCTGTTACTGGCTGGAGACAGTGGGGATCCCGGAGTCTGTATTGGGAAGCTTTAGAAAAACCGGCTGTGCTGCTAAGAAACAAACCAAGGAAACTGAAACCTCTGTCTACAAACCAGTCAAGGTGCTTGTCCTTGGGCCTTTCTTAACCTCTTTGGCCCTTGTCCTCTCACCTACAAAGTGGAGCTGGTGACTCCTGCAGAGCAGCAGTGGCCATAAAGGCACCGGGCAAAGTCACGCCCTAGGCCTAGAGGTTGATAAGGTCCTCGGGTGGGAAAGCCCCAGGGGCAGAGAACAAGTCACGAGAACACGGGGCCCAGAAACCTCCTGCCCCTAGACATCACGCTGTCTGGGGAACAGGCACGTCCTGTCCCTCTCGCCCTACCTGTCCTGAGCACAGACTGGACTTTAAGCCCTCAGCTATCACCCCGGGGTCAGAAAGAGAAGACAGCTGATGTCAGTTCATTCTTCCCCTCCCACTACAACACAGTCAACTCTCCCATCACCAGGAAAACTCCTGAGGATTAAAGGGATCGTGTATAGAAAAGAGCTGGGCACAGGTGCAGCCCCCACATCACCCGCTAGTAACATTAGTAACAATAATGCACATGGAGTCTTCATTCCTAACCACCTGGCACCACACCGGCTTCTGGCATGTCCACTAGTGACCCCGCGCCTGAACCCTCTCCTGGAGGCAGCGTGGGCAGTGGAGGCCCGGTGGGTAACAGGAGGTGAGGCAGTGGAGTTCTGCCCCTGTGCTGCCAGCCCCCAGCTGTGGGACCTTGGGCGTCACATTAATCTCTTAGAGCGTTGACATTCTTGGATAAAAATGGGCAAACCTTCCCCTTTATTCATCTGTAAGCCCGAATGAATGATTTCTTGTGACTCACAAAAAGTGTCCCTTGACACTCCTGGGCCTTTGAGTCCCAGGCCAAGATCTTATAACCCAGGACCCCATCTGCTCCCATCAACATCCAAGTAGGTACTTTGGGCTGCTCACTACTATTTCTCCACGTCCCCAACAGAGACTCCAAAATCCATCCTCCTGCCCCAGAACCCCCATCATCACCAGCTGAAAATGTCAGTAGCTTCCCTAAGCCTTGGCCTGCTGCCATCCCCGGAGCCACCCCAGTGGCTGGACATGCAGCCCCAGGAGCCAGCCAGCCTGCTGTGCAGCTGTGTTTGACTCTGGCAAGCGATCCCCTCTCTTTCCTCACCTATAAAGGGAGATCGCAGAGGCTACCTCCTGTGGTGGTTGCGGGCTGAAATGAGTCATCCCTCCAGGTGCTCAGAGCAGTTCCTGGCACCTTGGTTAAGCTCCTAAACCACAGTGGCCATAGTCATACAAGGCAGCACCCTCCCCCTCAGGGCAGCCTGTGTCCAACCTCAGAGAGCCCCTGGCCTTCCCCTGACCCCCCCCTGCCCCCCCCCCCCCCACCGGCCTCTCCTCTTCCTCCACTACCCACGGGTCTTCCCTGCTCCCCTCTTCCTAACCGCACAAAGCACCCTCCTCCCCATCCGCCCTCAGCTTCTGCACCAGTTAATTTATCACTCACTCCGACCTCTTCTAAGTCCTGGTTTACAAGTCTCTCTCTCGGAAGGGGCAGTCAGTTCGGGGAGGGGAGAGCCCACAACCCGGCCTCACGCTCCTGTCCCTACCGCCCAGGGCCTGTCCCAGGGGGGTGCCTGGTCCGGAATCCGGATTCCGCCCGGAGCAAAGAGGAGCGGCATCGCGTTCCCTCCTCCTTCCCACCCCAGCAGCTGTGGCCGCTAGACCCGGCTGGGGTGCCTCTGGGCGGGCTGGGCGGGCTGGGCGGGCGAGGCAGGGAGCGCGAGGGAGATGTGGAGCCAAGAAGCCCTGGTTCTGAATCTCGATTCTGTCGCTTAGCCGGCCGCACGGACAGGTCCTTCACCTCCGAACGGCAGTAACCTCGTCGGTAAAACGGGCGGAGCAATGTCTACCCTGCCCGGCGTGGTGGGGTCTGAGACTTGCTGCCAAGTCGCGGAACCTCTCCTGTCGGCTCAGCCCGTCGGCGGGGCTGAGGCGGTGGGTGGGGTGTCTCCGTGTAAAGATCGCGCGCGGGTGGCGGTCCCGCCACCTGCTGGCTCCCCTGGGAGCCCCCGCCCAGGGAGGGCAGGAATGGGGGTTCTCAGCCACGCACACGTAGGGCACCACCCTAGGAAGGAAACAAGACTTCGGGGGCGGACCGCTCCCCGCACAGACCCTTTGCTCTGGGGCGTCCGCGCGCCCAGCGAGTCCCTCCCCGGCCCAGAGCCGCAGGCGCAGTCTGGGGGGGAACCGGGGGAGGGGAGAGTCGGTCTGGTCCCCACCCAAGAAAGCCGGCTGCCCAAGGAGGCACCTCGGTCCCGGGAGGCAAGCCTCACTCCGCAAGTGGGTTCTGTCCACCCTCCACCCCAGGCGCACCTCCTTTTTGAAAAGGAGGGACCTCTCCGCTGAGCCTCACCGACCGCGCTGGGGGCTCCAACGAGAGGCAGAGAGAAGTTGGGGA